TTCTCCAGACAAGACCCTGCAGAGCAATGCTCCCTCTAAGCTGTAGAGTCTTAGGAGCAAAAATTCCGCAGGGCCTGTAAGACGGAGCTCTTCCGCCATGCTTTCACATAGGGGCCACCACTACCACCGCCACCAATGAGGTGGACAACATCGGGTTAAGGATGGCCCAGGAAGATCTGCCACAATTTCTGCGTGGCCACTGGATTTACCTGGTTGAGCTATAGGATAACATCACCCTGGAGAACCATCCGGAGACCCTCTTGTTAAACTGAGTATAATTTTTATTAATTGTCATTAATGTTTTATTGCTTTTATCTGTTTTATAGGGGCTCTGCCCCTTGTAAGCCGCCCTGAGCCCGCTCTGTGGGGAGGGCGGGGTATAAATCTTAATAAATAAATAAATAAAATAAATAAATACTTTGTGAGCCACTGGCGTTCAAAGTTGTGAGCGAGTGATTTGGCTGCTGCATAAACTGGTTTGCTCCGGAGCCTTCCTTCCTGAGCGAAGGCAAAAGTGTGTGAGGCGGAGGCTAAAAAACGGTGAGCTGGCTCACACTGACTCAGCTTAGAGGGAACGCAGTCCTAAGGGCATCTAGGGCACGATTCCGTCATTCAGGGACCAGGTTCTCCAAGCAGCACTCCCGGCAGGTTTAAAAATAAAAGGCCGCGTCATGCGCTCAAATCCCAGCACGGTGAGATGTTTGAGCTGAGATCTTTCCAAACACAACACACGCAACAGTTGCTCCGATGGTTAAGTGGCTAAACGAAAAGCACCCTCGAGATTTCAGCTCTCTCTCTGTCACCGCAGGCGAGCAGATTGTTGGAACGCAACACATCGCAAATTGCACACAGGCCGGAGAAGAGACGCATCAGCAACGGGAGCCTTTGCGGGACTGGGCTTGGCTGCTGTTTACATATTCACGGCCGGGATGGGGGACCGATTTGTAAACAGAACTGATTCTTTTCATTTTTTGCTCGCGCAGCGGCAGGCACTGAAACAAGGGTATGCGGATGTTGCTCACGTACTGAGTGAAGGGTATGCCGATGTTGCTCACACACGGAATTAAGGAGAAACACAGTGACATTACGGTAACAAGGTGAACTTCGGGAAATGACGTCAACAGCATCTGCAGGCCGAGTGGCTCCCACCGGTCACAGGGGAGCCAGCCAGTGGCAGAGAGAATCAGCCGACGATCACCTCAGTAGAGCTACTCTGGTGTAGCGGTTAGGAGCGCAGACTCTAATCTGGGAGAACCGGGTTTGATTCCCCACTCCTCCACTTGCAGCTGCTGGATGACCTTGGGCCAGTTACAAGTTCTCTCAGAGCTGTTCTCTCAAGGACAGTTCTGGAAAGCGCTCTCTCAGCCCCACCGACCTCACAGGGTGTCTGTTGTGGGGAGGGGAAGGGAAAGGAGTTTGTCAGCCGCTCTGAGACTCCGAGTGAAGGGCGGGGTATAAATCCAATCTCTTCTTCTTCTTTTTTTACACTTCTAAATTTTGTCATAATGATGCCATGTAAGGTGCCTGAAGGTTACAGAGAACTCACCGGGTTAACACTGCAAAGAACGTACGAGCCACGCTTAATACCTTGCCAATCGGATTTCTCCTTTTTTGTGTCTGAAGCTTAGAAAAACCCCGGCCAGAGAACAACACGTATGCAACTTAAGGATTTCTCCTTCTCCCCCAGAGCGTGTTATGTTCTCTTCCCTCAGACCACAAAACTAATCTGCTTAAGGACAGGATTGGCAGAACAGGAAGAACAGTCTCAGATCACCCTTTATGCAAACAACTTTGGCAGACCGCTGTTACATCAGGGGTGCGGCGAGCGGCTTTCAGTGAGGAAGTTGCGCCGCTTTCCTTTGGAGCAGGTCCTGAACGAGCCGTGCCAGTATAGGCCTCTAGCCCACTGTGATGCAATCCAGATTAATCCTGATCTGAGCAGTTCCTTTAGCCTTAAAGGGCACATTTTTTTCTATATACTGACTCTAACAACAAAGATTCCAAAAATAGGTACACAATAGATTTGATAGGCCGCCATTAACACTGTTTATGCAACAAAGGGAAAATCTTATTTTAAGAGACATTAAACACAGAAGCGATTCTCCCCCCCCTTTTTTAACCCACTATACAAGCACGAGTCGTATGCAGCGGGACGCCACCTATCCAAGGAGGACACAGGTCTAGAACCCTATCAAGCCTAACGGTTCCCATCCTACAGAATGAGCAGAGGACATACAAAATGGTATATTGCACTGTATCAGCATCTAAAAGCCAGAGCCAGTTTGGTGTAGTGGTTAAGTGTGTGGACTCTAATCTGGGAGAACCGGGTTTGATTCCCCACTCCTCCACTTGCACCTGCTGATGTGACCTTGGGTCAGTCACAAGCTCTGGCACAGCTGTCCTTGAAAAAGAGCAGTTTGTGTCAGAGCTCTCTCAGCCCCACCCACCTCACAGGGTGTCTGTTGTGGGGAGGGGAAAGGGAAAGGAGTTTGTAAGCCGCTCTGAGACACCTTTGGGTAGTGAAGGGCGGGGTATAAATCCAATCTCTTCTTCTCTTCTAAAACGGCTTGGCTCAGTAAGACCAATCTGTTGTCATAGAGTCGCAGGGCCGGAAGGACTCTTAGGGGGCCGCCAAGTTCAGCTCCCTGTTCAAGGCAGGAAGTCCAAAGCCGGAGCGGCTCCATAAAACGGCTGCCCGTCCTCTTCTTGAAGTGAGGGAGCGCTCCCCCCACCCCACCCCCTCAGGCTGTCAGTAGAATCAGATACGGTAATGAATCCCATATTGGTCACTACAGCAGGGGCCCCCAAACTTTTTGAGCCTGCAGGCAACTTTTCAATTCTGACCTATGGTGGTGGGTGCAACAACAGAATGGCTCCCATAGGAGAGAAGAGGAGAAGAGACTGGATTTATACCCGCCCTTCACTCACGAGTCTCAGAGCCGCTTACAATCTCCTTTCCCTTCTCCTCCCCACAACAGACAGGTGGGGCTAAGAGAGCTCTGAGAGAACTGCTTGTGAGAGGGTGGGACTGAGAGAACAGCTCTGAGGGAACTTGTGACCGACCCAAGGTCATGCCAGCAGCTGCATGTGGAGAAGAGGGGAATCAAACCCTGTCCTCCCAGATTAGAGCCCGTGCTCTTAACCACTACACCAAATTGGCTCTTGAGGCGGTAAGGTCAAGGTAAAGGTAAAGGTTTCCCCTGCTCAAAACCCAACTGAATCCGACTCTAGGGATGCGGTGCTCATCTCCGTTTCCAAGCAGAAGAGCCAGCGCTGGCCGAAGATGTTTCTGTGGTCATATGGCCGGCACGACTAGACGCCGAGGCGCACAGAACGCTGTTACCTTCCCAGTGAAGTGGTACCTATTTATCTACTTGCAATTTCTTGCTTTCGAACTGCTAGGTTGGCAGGAGCTGGGACCAGAGACAGGAGCTCACTCCGTCATGCGGCACACTCGGGTCTCGAACTGCTGAACTCCCGACCTTCAACAGCCTGCAGTTCAGCGTCTTAACCACTTGAGCCACCGCAGCTCCCTTAAAGACCTACAAAATTTGTGGCAGGCTAGGAGCTCTTGTGAGTCACTGCTGACTCAGGGTGTGAGTCACTTGAGCCACCGCAGCCCCTCTTGAGGCGGAGCCAGCCACAAATGTCAGGGAGAAAGGCTATGCAAAACTCTCATAACAGCTCTTCAGCATTTAAACCAGAAGCTGTGTTTAACAGGGATGCCGTTTAGTAGCACAGCCAATCGGAAGGCTTGCTGGGGACAAGCCCCACCTGGCCCTGCCCACTCCCTAAAAACACTGGCTGAGCACCAGGAAAGGTGTTAGCAGGAACCCGCTGGGGACCCACGCTTTACGGCATTAACAACATCACGGAGTTCTCCGGATTCCATCCGTGGCATTCCGCCATTGTTACTCACCATGCCCGTTGCAATAGTAGATCCACTTCTCCCTGCTCGGGCCCGGCGTGGAAGATTTCTTCACCAACGACTTCTCCACGATGGCGCTGGGATCCTGCCTGGGCCCCTTCTTCAGGGTCCGCGAGCTCTTCCGGATGCTGCAGACCACGATCACCACCAGGACCACCAGCAGCAGCAGCACGATCATCCACGGCAAGTGTTCGTTGATATCGAAATGCCGGTGGGCGGCCTGGCGTGGAGGCCCTCTTTTAGGGGGCTTGTAAGGAATGCTGGATTTCACGCTGCCACTCATCTCCAGGGCGGGCTGTATTTTCAGAATGGACGTGGTGTGCTGGTGGTAGTGGATCTGCTGGTGGTTCAGAAGCCTCGGATGCTCTGGAGCCGTCGCGTTGGCCTCTGCCGACTCGTTCTTCAACGTCTCGTTGCCAGGGCCTGCAGCCTCCACCATGTTGACGTACGGGTTTGGCGTTGGGGTGGCGGAGAGGTTGGAAGCTGAAGAGTTCACACCTGCAGAGCACACACACCACGTTAAGAGCAGAAGCAGCAAACTTAAGGCCCTGCGTGCTATTCAATGAGAAAATCCTGGCCGATAGAAGAAGAAGAAGAAGAAGAAGAAGAGGAGGAGGAGGAGGAGGAGGAGGAGATTGGATTTATACCCCGCCCTTCACTACCCAAAGGTGTCTCAGAGCGGCTTACAAACTCCTTTCCCTCCCCCTCCCCACAACAGACACCCTGTGAGGTAGGCGGGGCTGAGAGAGCTCTTGACAGAAACTGCTCTTTTTCAAGAACAGCTGTGCCAGAGTTATGGCTTGCCCAAGGTCATCCAGCAGGTGCAAGTGGAGGAGTGGGGAATCAAACCCGGTTCTCCCAGATTAGAGTCCGCGCACTTAACCACTACACCAAACTGGCACTACACCAAGAACAAGAGCCCTGGCGGCACCTTAAAAGACTAACAAAATATGTGGCAGGGGACGAGCTTTCGTGAGGCCCTGCTCACTTCTTCAGAGACAGCTAGAATGAGAGTCCATCTGTCCTGTTTATTGGGAAGTGGCGTGATCTCAGATGCAGGAGGACATCTTGGCCAAGACAGCCTAAGTATCCAATTAGTGTCTCGGACATACGAACGCACAGGAAGCTGCCTTATACCGAACCAGACCCTGGGTCCATCAAAGTCAGTATTGTCTACTCAGACTGGCAGCAGCTCTTTGGGGGTCTCATGCTGAGGTCTTTCCCATCACCTAACTCACAGGTCCATTTTAACTGGAGATTCCAGGGATTGAACCTGGAATGTTCCGCAAGCAGAGCAAGAGGCTCGACTACTGAGCCACAGCCCCTCCCCAAATATAAGCTGACATTATCTAGAAAAAGGTTATCACATAAAATAAAATGAACATAAAATCGGGGGCTACTTCACATTGGAAGCTCACTTACCACCTTATAGTCAGAAATTCCCTCTAGGACTGAGCCTGGAGGAAACCAGTTCTACAGATCTGTAGCACGAGGCGTCTGTGCACAGCACTGATTGGTTAACAGCTGTAACATCGCAATACCCTACCCCCCACCCGGGAAGAAATATTAAAAATCTTTAACAATATAGTGCTCTTTTCTGTTAAGTTCCAAAACAACTTCTAGTTTTACATAAAAGCATTTTTTTAAGTGGATGGTCTACCTGAAGCACGTTCGGAGCACTCCTGGTTACTACAGAATATCAATGTCAAGGCTAGCTAAGGAAAATTCCAATTCATTCTTTCCAGGTAAGAGTTTGCATATAAAAAGCCCAACGCCAGAAGTCAGGTGGTAACTTTTGTTAGGACCAGTCAACGTACTGCAAAACGGTGAGCAAAATTTTCGTGTTTTCAAGAATTCTTCATTAAAGAATCTAAATAACTCCTCAAAGTATTCCAAACAGGTTAGGGAATTAGTCGAGAAAGAAGGAGGAATATACACGTTCAACATAAGTATTTGTCCAACGCTAAACTTGAGCAGGAGAGCTATGTCCTATGTTTTGTATGATTCGTCAGCAATATCTTGATCCTGTTATTTCTAACCTTTCTGGTTCTCCAGGAAGAATTACCCAGTATTTACTTGCTGCTAAATCCTCTCGATTGACGGAATTAGTGGCTAAGTACTTGGCTATAGTACTGCACAAGGGTTATCCTTTTGTAGGTAAAGCCAATGAATAATTGTCTGATTTTGATTTTAGAAGAAGAAGAGAAGAGATTGGATTTATACCCCGCCCTTCACTCCGAGTCTCAGAGCGGCTGACAATCTCCTTTCCCTTCCCCTCCCCACAACAGACACCTTGTGAGGTAGGTGGGGCTGAGAGAGCTCTGACAGAACTGCTCTTTCAAGAACAGCTCTGACAGAAATATGGCTTGCCCAAGGTCATCCAGCAGCTCCAAGTGAAGGAGTGGGGAATCAAACCCAGTTCTCCCAGATTAGAGTCCGCGCACTTAACCACTACACCAAACTGGCATTGTTTTCTTGATATTACTCTAATTATCCTTTTAGATTGTGTTTTTATCTGATTTTATTCATCTTAGACCCTGTTTGTATCTGATTCTAACTTACCCTCATGTACCATTAAATGTTTTGAATTTCAATAGAATTCTTCATGAGACAGGATGTTCAGTAAAACCAGGGGTGGTATGGGGAGGGGGAGAGAGGGGGGATGATTTTTCAAGGCATGATAGAAACGCCCCAAATGGAGAAGTCTGAAAAGCCTAACCTTGGGACATTCCCATCATGGTTCTTGAGCAGAGGTTGGAAATACTCTGTGTACATGGATTTTAAAAGGTAAAGGTTCCCTTGCTCGAAAGCCAGTCGAATCCGACTCTAGGGTTGCAGTGCTCATCTCCATTTCAAAGCCGAAGAGCCAGCGCTGTCCGAAGACGTTTCCGTGGTCATGTGGCCGGCATGACTAAACACCAAGGCGTACGGAACGCTGTTACTTTCCCACCGAAGTGGTACCTATTTATCTACTTGCCATTTCTTGCTTTCGAACTGCTAGGTTGGCAGGATTTTACTTCGCCTAAAAATGTGTAGCTATATGAGCAGACTGATTCTTAGGCTGCGGTCAGATGACAGGCTTGGTGCGCTCTGGCTGTGCCTCTAAGTGCACAGGTTTATTTTGTAGCGGGAAGGTTTGATCAGACAGCACACCCTGAGGCAGCTTCACGGTGTGCTCATTCCACAGTCAATCGTCCAGGAGTGCAGCGTGTCAACCACGGAGCGCGCTGTCCGGTTGGTTTTATGGGTGCGCATGCACTTATGCACACAGGGCCAACAACTTAAAAAAGAAAAGAAATTAAAGGCAGAGATGGAACTGAATGTTCACACTTCCCAACTGTCTTCAGTTCACAACAGGGGAGTTCAGACAGCTAGAAATGCAGGGTGAAAGTGCAGGCATCCGTAAAGACTGGACTTTCCCCAATGCCTATTAACTCTGATTCGAGGACGGGGCAGAACCGGGTGCCAACGACTAGGGAACGGGAGGCAAATGTTGCTGTCTGATCGTGCACTTTAAACCTGGCAGGAAACAGCAATGACATTGGATCAAACTGCTCGTCTGACGGCAGCCTTAGACTCTACACCATGTTTTAATAGTCGCAGGATGATGTTTTAAGACCTTTGATCAAAGACAGTGGGTAGATTGCAGGCATAATTATTTTTAATATCATGGCACCTCATGTCATTAGAACTGAAAGCCAAGACTTCCTAAGGATGGAAAGGTTAATCTTAGAGTGGTGTAGAGTGGTCAGAATCCAAGACCCAGGTTCAAATCCCCACTCATGGAAGCTTGCTGAGTGACCTTGGACCAGTTACACAACTCAGCTTAACCTGCCTCACAGGTATTTGGGGAGCATACAGGAGCAGACGCTGTCTGACGAGTGAAGCAAGAGAGCAGTAAACCAAAGCAAAATAACCCACCTCACAGGGTTGTTGTGAAGATAAAGTGGAGGAGAGAAAAAACGATGTAAGCTGCTTTGGGTCTCTACTGGGGGGAGGAAAGTGGGGTACAAATGAATAAATAAATCTTGGGCTATGCACCATCAAGGCACTTCCGACCAGTGTTCCCGCTAAGCTGAGTTAATGTGAGCCGGCTCACAGTTTTTTAGCCTCCGGCTCACACATTTTTGTCTTTGCTCAGGAAGGAGGGCTCCAGAGCACATTTACGCAGCAGCCAAATCGCTCGCTCACAACTTTAGTGCCAGTCGCTCACAAAGTAGAATTTTTGCTCACAAGACTCCACAGCTAAGAGGGAGCATTGCTTCCGACTTATGGTGACCCTCGGAATTGACGTCCTCCAAAACATCCTATTGTTAACAATCATGCTCAGGTCTTCAAGACTGAGGGCCCTGGCTTCCTTGACTGAATGAAAATTCATTCGTTTGCTTCTTTGTGCCAATTTATATTCCACCCTCCCCGCCTGCCTGTGGGATGGCCTTTCCCCACATGTTCCCCAGAGAGCACTGCGATCAGGATCCCAAAACCGCCTGGACCTCTTTGGCCCAAAGGAAGTCAGGTTGACGGCAACTAGGACCAGGGCTTTCTCTTTCGTAGCGCCGTCCTATTGGAACGAGCTTCCTGGAGAGATCAGGGCTCTGCGGGACCTGTCACAGTTCCGCAGGGCCACGAAAACAGAGCTTTTTAGGCAGGCATTCCGTTAGGCGCAGCGTCTTACCAGCAGCGCCCGGTGTGAACTCAGAGCCAGCACGACCCAGCGCGGTGGCACCGCTGAATGTGTCCTTAAACTGCACTTTATTTCTATCGCCATCGAAGTTATGTTTTAAATTGATTTGTCTGTGTTTTAAATGACTTATTGTATTTTATCATTTGTAACATGTATATTGCTTATCAGTTTTATAGAAGCCGCCCTGAGCCCGCCTTGGCGGGGAGGGCGGGGTAAAAGTTAAAGTGATAAATAATAAATAAATATAAATAAATAAATACCTGTACATAAAACAGTGTAGAACACCCAGCCAGGGTTTTTTTTTTAAAGTCTTTATCAAAAAATTTAACATCCAAATCAATCAGAGGCTTTTTTTTTTAATACGCCAGCTGTGAAGGAGTGGAACGGTGAGCGATTTAGCACTAGAACACTGGTCCTATGGCAGTTGTGACTTTTCATGGCTTTATCGAGATTTTGATAGACTGCTCTTTTTTTAAAATGCTTTTTTTTGCTCCAAGCCACCTTCATCAGCATTTGCTGGCATTCGGAACACACATTTGTAAACACACAGGATAATGTCCGAAAGAGCAGCGGACAAACTACAGATAAAGCAAATACATAATGTTTCTACTCAGCCACAGAGCTTTTTAAAACACACGTGTGCGCGCATAAATGGTACTGCTGCCTCCTTCCTCTTCTTGGCTGGTCGCCTACCAGTCAGGACATCGTTTCTACGGCATGCGGAAGGGGACAAAAAGCCTCGATGTGAAACTAGCCGTGGAGAATGAGGCAGCAGCCATTTTGTCTAAAACTAGGCAGGTGCCCGAAGGGCTTCTTTAGGGAGGCCATTCTAGAGCGGCAGCTGGCGCCCTCCCAACCGGCCAACTTCACACATGCTCAACGGCCCCAGACAACAAATGCTCTCGGACGTGCTTTGTATTTACCTTTGGGAAGGGAAGTGGTAGATGCAACCTTGGGGTGCTCTTTCTCCTCTTCTGGACGGGAGGAAAGCCCAGCGGCATTCAGGAGGGCGGGCGGAAGGCCACAGATGTTGTCCGTCTGTCTCGTCCCCGGCTTCGTCACCACCATTTTCTTTTTGGAACAGTCCGTGAAGGCTCTGCATCTCAGGACGCTAGAAGGCACATCAGAGAAAGTGCCGGAAGGGCACGGCTTGCACCTGACATCCTCCGTGTCGGTACCTTTCTTTTTTAAGCCCCAGCCGATGGGACACTCGGAATAGAGGTTGCAGGTGTCGTTGGCGAGGAAGCGGCCGAGCGGGCAGGCGCATTCGCGATCGGTCCAAGCCGTGCAAGGCGTTCTCTCCACCATCGGCCGCTTACAAGGCTTCCTGCAGGGGTGGCATCTCTCAATCCCGTTTTTGTGCTTTGTAAAGGTCCCCCTCGGACAGTCGCTGCACTCCCTTAAGGTCGTATTGGTACAGTGCTTGGACACGTACGTCCCCGCGGGACATTTGTCACACGTCAGTTCGCTGTTCGTGGCCCGGTCGAAGTGGCTGTACGTGCCGGAGGAGGGGCTTATGGCGTTCTGCTCGGACGTCAACTTGGACTGAGCACCGGTGGCGCTGAACAACATGAAGCCCTGAAAAGCGAAACACAAAGCACGTCAGACGCAAGCAAACCAAATCAGCCTGGCGCTGCTTATCAGACAGCATGGTGTAGTGGTTAAGAGCGATGGACTCCAATCTAGAGAACTGGGTTCGATTCCCCACTCCTCCACATGAAGCCAGCTGGGCGACCTTGGGCCACTCACAGGTCCTCTCCGAGTTCTCTCAGCCCCACCTACCTCACAGGGTGTGTTGTGGGGAGGGGAAGGGAAGAAGACTGCAAGCTGCTTTGTGACTCCTTACAGTAAAGAACAGCAAAAGCTACTCTTCAGAGCCAGCGCGGTGTAAAGAGTGGTGGACTTGAATCTGGAGAAACAGGTTTGATTCCCCACTTCTCCTCCACATGAAACCTGCTGGGTGACCTTGGGCCAGTCACAGTTCCTCTCAGAGCTCTCTCAGCCCCACCTACCCCACAAGGTGTCTGTTGTGGGGAGAGGAAGGGAAGGTGACCGCAAGCCGCTTTGAGACTCCTTAAATGGTAAAGGTAAAGGTTCCCTTGCTCGAAAGCCAGTCGAATCCGACTCTAGGTTTGCAGTGCTCGTCTCCGTTTCAAAGCCGAAGAGCCAGCGCTGTCCGAAGACGTTTCCGTGGTCATGTGGCCGGCATGACTAGACACCAAGGCGCACGGAACGCTGTTACCTTCCCACCGAAGTGGTCCCTGTTTATCTACTTGCAATTTCTTGCTTTCGAAACGCTAGGTTGGCAGGAGCTGGAACTACAGACGGGAGCTCACTCCATCATGCGGCACCCGGGTCTCGAACTGCTGAACTACTGACCTTCCACAGCCTGCAGTTCAGCGTCTTAACCACTTGAGCCCCCGCAGCTCCTTGAGATTCCTTAGGGCAGAGGAAAGCAGGGTATAAAAACCTAACTCTTCTTCCGTTAAAAAGTCAATTCCATCTGATAGAAATAAGACTCTCCAGCTTAGCCGCTCAAAGGTACATCCAGCACAGGATAGAAAGCCGTGAACACGCACATCTGCCTTACACCAAATCAGACCATGGGTCCATCAAGGTCAGTATTGCCTACTCAGGCTGGGAAGTGTCTCCCTGGGGTCTCAGGTAGAGATCTTTCTCATCACCTACTACCTGATTCTTTTAACCAGAGATGCTGGGGATTGAACCTGGGGTCTTCTACGTGCCCAGCAGAGGCTCTGGCACTGAGCTGCGTGCCCCTCCATGGACATAAAATGTGCTTTCTAATAAAAAAGCTGGGATTTCGAGAGTTATGATCTTCTGAAGCTCATCCTATTCACTAGCGATCTGCATTCTAGACGGCCACAGGAACACATTTCCGTATCAAACTAAGGTGTGGTATACACAGGGAGAGACTTGGGTGTCTTTGCCTCGCCCTCTTCCTTTCTCCTGGTACCCCAGTGTTAAGTCGCTCGCTTAACAAAGAAGGTCGGACAGTGATTCAGCAAGAACACAGCTTTATTCTTTCACTCGAACACAACTCCAACACGGATCAACATCTGATAGCCAGAACAGCCTTTACATTGCAGCTGTCCTGCTTTTAAACATCCCCGGCTAATGTAACCACACCCACTGTACAAATACCAACCAATAAGGTTGTTCGCATAAGGACCAATCACGGATGTTCCCGCTCAGGGAGCTTGCTAGAAAGTGATTGGTTAGGTGCTTCCTGGGCTAGTAACACGATTGGGTGGATTTGGATCCCAGCCCAGGACGAAGCTTCACATTGCACTTCAATTAGATGTTTCACAACATATCATGCATTCAAGGCAGCTTTGAATACACGACACCCAGCGATTACTGACCAATTGGACTAAATAGGGGGCATCCATCCATGACGGGTAGTAAAACACATTATTTTTCAACATTTCACAGTGCTGTTTGTCAGAAGTGGCCTGACCAATATGAGCTGTGGCGTGGAGATTTGCCAGGGTTGAGAACCTCCAGGGGAGTCACTGGTAGATCTCCTGGGATTACAGAGGTCAGTTCCCCTGGAGAAAACGGCCGCTTTAGAAGGTAGACTCTGTGGTGTTAGACCCCACTGATGTCCTGTCCCTCCCCTCCCTAAACCCCACCCTCTACAGGCTCCGCCCTCAAAATCTCTTGGTATTTCCCAACCTGGAGCTGGGAACCCTACTCACGATGGGTTTGCTCCAGCCAAGGGTTTTTTTGTAGAAAAACCCCAGCAGGAACTCATTAGCATAATTGGCCACACCCAACAGCAGAAACGTATTCGCATATTAGGCCACACCCCTGACAGCTCATTAGCCTATGAGGCCACACCCCCGTGTTACCAGAAGTGTGGTCATCCAGCCACACCCACCTTTTGCTTCTTATTCTGTTTACCTTGTTTGTTGTCAAGACCCAGGGCTTTTTTTGGAGCGGGAACTCCTTTGCATGTTAGGCCACACACCTCTAATGTAGCCAATTCCAATGAGTTCCTGCTGTTGGGTGTGGCCTATTATGCTAATGAGTTCCTGCTGGGCATGGCCAACTCTGGAGTCAGCCGGAACTCCGTTCCTGTGCGTTCCTGCCCCAAAATAGCCCTGGCTCCAGCCAAATTTAAGGGGGGGGGGGATCCAGCAAACAATGGCTAAATTATAGCACCTAATAATTTTGCTCAGAGGAGCAAGGATTTTGCTTTCGGGCATCTCTGTAGCCACCCCCGATATACCTTCCATTTACCACTTCATTACAGCTGAAGTGTGGATACACACACACCATTCAGTAAAAATCTTCGGTGTACTCTTAAAGTGATGATGTTTCAAGATTCCCGTGCCGCCCTGACCTGGATAGTCCAGGCAAGTCCGATCTCGTCAGATCTCGGAAGCGAAGCAGGGTTGGACTCTGGCAAGTACTTGGAAGGGAGGCCTCCAAGGAATACCAGAGGCGGGAGGCGGGGGCAGGCTTTATTCAGCTATCTCTGAGTATCCCACAGGCTCCCAATAGGGGTCAGTCACCAGAGATCACTATGACTTCCAGGGGCACATGTGCACATATGGAAAGAAAGAAAAAAACCAACCAAAAAAAGAGACTTTCTATGGTGTGGGGAGTGACCAGCTGGCAAGCAGAGTCAGGTACATACGCAGAGAGGAATGGCCGTCAGGGTGACCGATGGCCGAACCTCTACCCGGACACCCTGCTGATCGGTTCGACAGGACAGACTGCAGGTTGCAAAAATGTACGCTACAATAAAAACGTGCTGGTCTTCAGCGTGCCATTGAAATGGCTATTTATTATACCAAAAAGAAGGGAAGGGGTAGAAGTAACATACCATTCCCCCTTGCAAGCTGAGGTAAATTATAAGAAGCATACATGAGCAGAAGTTACCCAACAAGTGAATCGGGAAAGCAGTAAAAAGAAAATAATTTCAACAGGGAAGAAAGAGTAAATTATACACAACAGTTTTCAGCACCTCAGTAGCACGACAAAACCTGAAGGACAAACGCAGTAACTCAAAGTTACATTTAATAGAAAGGACATGGCGGATCAGCTATTACTCTGGGAAAGAACAAATTAAGCCCTAAAATGAATCTTAGGATAAGGCAGATTCATTTTCTTCTAACTGGTGGGGGGTGGGGTGGGGGGGGATTTCTGTGGCTCTGCCGTATTATATATGCTCCCACTCTTCAGTTGCTACCCGTTCTGGGAAGTCAGCCAAGGAAGACATATTTTTATAAAAGAATCCCCAAACATGATGCTGCGGGGGGGAAATATACACGGAGAAGCCAACAGCATTGCATCAGTTTTGGTGCAGAGTAGCTACTAGCTGAGCTGCCTTTGCTTGCTTTAGCAGAAATTATATTTGCCCTGCTGCATAATTGATGAACAAAAACCTGCACAAAACACACTTCAAAGCAGTTCATAAAAAGCTACTGCCAAAGGCAACGCGCTCCCATGTGCTTATGCGCAGCAAACTGGGCCACATCCAAGCCAGACAACAATGCCTCATACCGACACTTCCACCTGCAAAAAGACAATATGCTCCCATGCAACAGCACACAACATAAACAATGATGCTTCAGTGTCTTCTGTTTGACAAGACTCTATTGAGCTGCCAAAACCCAAGGAGATATTTCCGAGCGAGCTGAAAGGCAAAAAGATCTCTCTCTGTGCCAGAACACCCTGTGACTTCTTCAAACCGAAAATGGTATTTCAAAGGTTGGACATAACTAGGGATGCCAGCCCATGGCCTGGCACCCCGGGAGGGTATGTGGGGTGGGTATACGTGGGCTAGCGTTACAGCAGCATGCGATATCGCATCTGCCAAAAATCAGAAGTGATGTTATGTCAGTGTGACAGTCTAGAATTCTATGATTAAACCCTGAGTCCTTGGCAAATCCTCAAGCTATGCCCTGACACCATGATGTCACTTCCGGTAAAAACTGGAAGTGACATCACATGCTAGTATAATGCCCACCCCCATTCCCCCAAAGGAGACCTTTGAGGCTCTGGCGGGCAACAGAGACTGGATTGCCAGGAGGTCTCCCACCACAGCAGGAGACCCCACATTCTTAGCTATAATCAGGGGTCATTTCCTGCAGGAGCGCACAGGAGCGGAGCTCCGGCAGTAAAGAGCCCATGGGGCGGGCACATGCAACAAGCCCCCTCCCTTCTCCCAGCAGCCCTCAGTCAGAGCAAGAAGCAGCCAGGTAAGTTGCAGAGCCCCTCCCCGGGCCCCCGGTCCAAAACAGTCCAGTGGTACCTTTAAGACCAAATTTTATTCAGGTACAAGCTCTCCCTCCTCTGCAAGGACAGATCTGCACGTTCCCCCCCCCCAATAGCTAGCAATCCAAAACAGACCAGTGGAGCCTGAGCGGTGGGTGTTGCCTTCTGACACACTTCCAGTGATGTCAGGTGGTGTGGCATATGCAAATAAGTTATGATAATGAGCTCCTGCACCTCTTTTTCTACGAAATGACCCCTGGCTATAATATATTTCATATCCATCCTGCTCTAGATTAACAACACTCATAGACAGCTGGTGTGGTGTAGCAGTT